AATTTGCAGCACCCCTTTCACTCTTTATTTTCGAAGACTTTCTCAAAATTATGACAAGAAACTCGCAACATTTACCACTCAACAAAAACACGAACTTTTGATGAGAGAGAGAGAGAGAGAGAGAGAGAGAGAGAGAGGGATTACATAAAGCAATGAAGAGGGTCTTTTGGGAAATCAATCAAAATGGTCAATAAATAGTGGATGGTACTACATTGATCGAGAAAGAAACTGAAAAAGTAGTGGGGACGAATATAATTTTTGTTTGTAATTTTGGATGAAAATTGAAGAAAATGAAGGTGACTTGGATGGAGTGGAGCCAAGAGAGTCGAGTTTCTTTATGGTGAGAGTAATTTTATATTTAATTCATCCTAACCAAAAAAGAATTCTTTATTCTCGATGGTCACATTGCCACCTTGATTGATTTGAACATAGTGGTGTTAAATGACATTATTCTTAAATTTTAAACTAACATATCCATATTTTCTAAAGATTTTCTAGATTGTCTATTAATATTTAATAATTCAATCTAATTTTGGTTCAAAATTTAAATTTCTTAAATATTATATGTCAAGCTTGCTTTTTCATCCCGTTACTACCACTATTGTCCTTTTCATTTTCCAAACCCTTCATCAAATCTCAAATTACTCTTTTTAAACAAGGGTAGATTAGTCATCATTCCATCCTCCATGGTGGAAATAAACCTTCACAATCCGCGAGTTACCTCCCTCATAAAGCTCTAGGGGAGGGGAGGGGCGGGGCGGGGCGATGGAGTCCCTCAAGGTTGGGGTTAAACCTTTTTTTTTTTAATAAAACCCCACAACCACTTTCCCTTTCACCATTTTTATGAAACCTGACTCTCCCCTACCCCATTCTGCATCACTCTACCCACGTCACCTCTCTTTCTTACCTCCATTTTTCATACAAAATAAAAAACAATTTTTTTTTCTCGACCTCTTTCTTTGTATACGTTACATGCCCTTTCTCTAGTCCGATCAATGTAATCACATCAACAGAATGACAAGTTGTGTTCCTTTGACCTTTCAACTGATTTCCAGAGAGTTCCCTCCCATTTTGCCATGAAAAACACACTCTTCCATACAGAGGGCTCTAATTTTGGTTGAGTGGTAAATGTTGAGAGTTTGTTGTTAGAATTTTGAGAAAGTCTTAGAAACTGGAGAGTGAAGGGGGTGCTTCAAATGTGAGATCAAGGCCTCAAATAAATCTGAATGAAGCTTCAATTTCATCACTCGATGAAGCCGAAGACAAAATTAATGGTTTCGATCCACGACTCTGTTTGTGGAATTTCCAATGAGCAGTTTGCAAAAAGATTATAGGTGTTTTGAGTGCTTTGTAAAAAAATGGCTGGAGTGAATTAGTTTTCGACATCAACGCTTTTCTGTACGAAGTGAAGAAACAAAACGAACGAAATTTTACGGAACTAGCGGGACCCACAAATGGATTGTTTATATGAAAATTGAGAGCAAGTTAAATTGAGAATTTCAATATTGTCCATAGAATTTAATGTGTGTGTGTGTGTGCAGTTGCACATGTCTGAAGTTATTTTCCTATTCATTTTATGTCCAATTGTTTGTTTATTTAACTTTTTCTAATTTCTTTTCTATATCCTTTTGACAGTGTGGTTATTGATCAAGTATACTGATGGACAAGATCTCTCAAGTTTATGATACCGTAAATAAATAATATAGTGATTAATAAAGTATCTTCTATGGAGACTATGTACTTAATGTAATAGTAATTGATGCTAACTCTAATACAATAGCCAACTTGTGTTTGTGAATTTATGATAATTGTCTAACTAATTACATAATGAGCAATGGAGAAGATTATGTAAATTTGACAAAAATATGCACTAAGACTTTGAATCCCTTTATTTTTTCATATTAGTATAATTCATAACATGATAATATTTATTCATTCTCATTCATCAATATCCATAATTCTACTAGGCTTTGCTTGAACCCTATTTTTGGGGGGGACATGAGTTTGTAATATTGATTTTTTTTTTTCAAGAATACGTGATTAAAAAGTAGAAAAAAGTGTTGAGTTTATGTATAAATTATTTTATTGAGAGAATGTATAGTTTGAAAAGAGTTCGAGAAAAAAGTATAGAATGTTCTCAAACATGAATTAATAATTTTTCTCTGTCTCTATGAAAGATACGAACATAAAAGCATGTGCTAAAATGCTAGAATACCTATTGAAATCATGCAAGGTATAAGGGTTGAGGAAATTTAGTTTTTCCCTTTATATCAAGAATTATATAAACCCTAGATCTGAAAGTTCTTGGTAAATCTATATGATTGTTGATCTTTGCAAATTCTATCCATTATTGACTGATTCCCTTGAGGACATTTCATTTTCCAATCGATCTATCAATAAGTGTGAGTTGTGATCTGTAAGTGTTATGCCCTAGGTCCAATCAATTTTGGATATAAATACTATTATTATGTAATTGATGCAATTTTATAACAATCTATTATTTAATTAATACTCAATTAAATTAAATAATAGAGTTCGTAGATTCAGTTTTTTATAATGTGTTAATCACAATGAGTTGTGATTGTGAGATACAAATTACATATAACTTAATCTTAAATCATTCATGATCGCAAGTATTAACGAGATACGAATATCTTTATTATGAATAGATCATTAGGTGTGACATTTTTTATTTGAAAAGTAAGTAGCTGATCTCACGAGCTAAAGTGTAGTGACACTTAAATGAACGTGTGGATATTTTATTAAAGAATAAAACATTGAAGACCCACTGAAGAGATTCCACATGGATAACTATCTGTGTGTTAGTAGTTATTCTCTAAGCGTTGGATAATTAATTAATTGATTTACTTGTTGATAGGCTCTAATTAAATAATTAAATTAATTAATTAATGGATAAAATTTAATTAATCGAATTAATTATATATCGGACTGGATTAAAGAAAACTCTAGTTCTCTCAATCTTGTTCTCTGTGTGAATTTTTATTGGAAGTTGAACAATTGAACAGCTGTGGATTACAGATCATGATTGTTCGAGTTCAAGAAAAGCAAATGAGATGTAGAACTCATCAAAGGTATAACCTTTTATTACAATTTCTATCTAAACACAAAACAGGTCCGTGGTGAACAATGAAAATTATTATATTTTTCGATGTGCAAGACTAAGTAAATTTTCAACACGATCCTCTCTCTCTTTCTATCACAATGTTGATGCGTCGATTATAATGCTTGACAATTCTATTAGTCTGGCAGTGGTGATGCTTATGGTGGTCAAACTCAAAACCACCACTTTGGTTTGTGGTTTCTAAATATTAACTTGATTTTTTTATAGCTATTTCATATTATTATTATTATTTTTTCTTCAATCTTGTGCATATATTGATACTTCACTACTGTTGCATGCGTAATTTGACCTTTATTGTTTGNTGAGTAGTTCTATGATGATGTGCGTTTTCCGCAGCTGTAACCAGGGCTCTTGTAGTGTACATAAATCACTTGCTCTGATTTTTTACTCTAAAAGTCGGAAGACATTTTTTTTATTTAGTTATCTGTACCTGTCGACTCTAAAGTCTTTAAGATATTAATTTGAATCAAGAAATCAGTGTTGGAGTTGAAACTTTACTATCAGTTACATGCTTAAATAATATCAACTGTAAAACAGGGATGATTAATTTAAGCCTTTAGTCAAATAGAGTGTGCTACCAACAGTAGGAGAATCTTATCTCTCGTGACTGAATTTGTGTGCATGTATTTATCCAACAACTAACACCTTGGTCTTGATGGGGAAGTGTTGAAAACCTTCAAAATTTTTGATAATAACAGTATTCAACAATCTAATGCTCGGGAACATTATCCCTTAGTATTTGTCAAATTTCTTTAACTATTATTGTCATATGTGTTTTAGCAACGTTATATTCCTAATTTTAAATATTGTATTAATGGAAAATATATGGTTAAAAAATAAAGAAAAATTTTGGATTTGCATGTAATATTATTTTATTGAAGAATGAACGATTTAAATGACGTCAAATCGTTGTTTTAGAATTTTTTTTTTTTTTTTTTTTTTTTTTAAAAAAATATTTTTTTTTTTTAAATTTTTTTTTTTTTTTTTTTTTTTTTTAAAAATGTTGCTCAAACATAGTATCTTATACTACCTTAATAATGTATATTGGCATATATACTTATTTATACTGTTTTTTCGCATGCCATACTCTTGGAAATTGAATCAATTTATGCGGCCTTGCGTGCATGTTTGGGGTGACCCAAATTAATTTTTATTTTTATTTTTTTAATTTTTAATTTTTGTAATTGTATATTTGATAAGATAAATTTAACATTAAATAATAAATAAATTATATTAATTATTTTATTATATTGCGAGTGTTCTGGTACAATTATTTGTAAGTTTTAGGAGGGATAAATGGATAATAATTGTAAATGTGCGGTTGAAACTAGTGTTTAACTCTAATGGATTAGAAAAATAAGATTTTTAATAACTTTTAATGTTTGATGAAAATATGATTATCTCATCTATATTGCACAACAAAGAAGTCAGTATTGGTTTCAATGGTCATCGATTAATTCACGTACTTTTTCTTTTCTATAAATATAGCTTTTGACTATAAAAAAAAATCACTTTTTTACGCAATTACTGCATAATATTGATCCTCAATTTACACAGTGATACAGTAAATTAGAGAACACCTAA